TAATTAGGGTTCTCTGCCCTAAGGATTTCTTCCAACAACCAGTTCACCAGACTGGTCAGAACATTGGTTCTCCTGAAGTGGTGCAAACTGGCTGAATCCCACCACTGGATTCACTGAACAACTGTGGCAAGAAAGATCACAAAACTCACTTAACAACTGTCTCACTTAGCAACAGAAGTGTTTGGCTCAGTTGCGATCGTAAATTGAGGATTACCTGTATACGAGATGGAAGGGATCGTAAGGGGATCTAGCCCAATTTGCTGTTCAATGCAGGAAGCCTCTAAACCATTCCTGGCAATTCAGCTCAGTTTATGAACCTCCGATGAAAGAAATCTACCTCCTCTTTCGAGAGACTGTGCCATTATTTAGTGCCTTTTACAGTCAGAAAATTCTTCCCAATATTCAGCCAAAAACCTCCCTTCTTTAATTTAAAAATGTCGGTCTTTCCACTGACCTTATGTGACAGGCGTTAAAATATTTTTAAATCAGTATCCTGTATTCCCTTCTGTTTTGCAAGTGAAACAAATCCATATCATTGGCCGTCGGTTTCTCATCCTATGTATAATGTCTGTCATGCCCCTGTTGGAATCTGATTCGGAGGGGGCGGCCGAACAGCTGACAGGGAGGGGGAGTGTGGCTCCATTGGCTGTGGAAAAAACTGGGGAAGGGCAAAGTCCGGCTGGGCAGAGCAGGGAAGAGATAGAGCAAGGAAGAGGGAGTTCATAGGAAGACCCAGGCCCACCCCCTCCTCATCCTCGGGTATGCAGGGAAGAACGGAGAAGGGAACAATGTGGGTTGCATGGCTTATGGGGGAGGAAAGGGCTCTGATTCCCTTCATTAGCTGCAGCTGGGAACAGTGTTTAAAAAGGGAAGTTGTTGGGAGCAAATTGTGAGTTTATCTGGTCTCTTGATGGCTTATCTGGGTTCCTGGTATCTTCCCAACTATGTTTGTTTTGCTGGGCTTTCAAGTCTGCAATTCTTTATCCTGCCCTGTCAAGTTAGTTACTGCAGCGTGGTTGGTTTGGATTTTTAGTTACAGTTTGTATGTACTTTGTTTTCGGACTGAATTTTCTCCACTTAAAGGCTGTTCCTGGGAGAGTTTTTCTCCAGCCGAAGGTAACAATGTCCAAAGGACATTGGGGGCCAAACTGGAGATAATAAAGGGACTTTTCTTGCTTATTTGACTGTGTTGCCTTTGGGCTGTGCTGTGGGTCATCACAGTATCTGTATCAATTGGTGAATATTTATTTATTTGGCTTTTATCCCATCCTACCTGAGGTATGAAAGCTGACTGATGATTGGTCCAAAGTCACCCAATCAGCTTTCATACCTAAGACAGGACTACTGTGGCTCTCAATGAAATCAAATTTGACACTCCTGGTTTAGATTAAAACATACCAAGACAGAGTTGCTGCCGGTGAACCATAAACATGGCTTTTCAATCAGATTGATTCCAGCCTTTTTAAGGTTACACAGGTACTCGGCTTACAACAGCTCGTTTAGTGACGATTTGAAGTTACAATGACTTATAACTGTTGTTCACACTTATGACTATTGCAGTATCCCCATGGTCATGTGACCTTCATTTGGATGCTTGACAACTTACAATGGTTGCAATGTCCCCGGGGTTGTGTGACCTTGTTTTGTGACCTTCTCAGAAGCAAACTCAACGGGGAAACCAGATTCACTTAACAACCAACCATGTTACTAATTTAACAAATGTAGCAAGAAACATTTTAAAACGGGGGCAATTTAATAACCGTCTTACTAATTCAACAACTGCAGGGATCCATATAAGAAACATGGCAAAAAAAAAAGTCATAAAATGGGACCAAACTCACTTAACAAATTGCTCACTTAACAACATACATTTGAAGCTCAATTGTGGTCGTAAGTTAAGAACTACCTGCATTTCTGCTGAAAAAGCTGAGATTTTGGGAATCCCTTCTGGATTCGCAACTCCTGCCAGAACAACAGGTGAAAACGTGGCCAAGCTGTAACTGGGGCACGAATCACCAACCTACAATTTTTCCTGCAATCGTGGCTCATATCTTGATTGCCTCCTATTAGGACTCTTACTACCAGCTCCATGGAGAGTGGCTTTAGCAGAATGCTGAGAAGGTACTGCTGGTGCAGAACGCAACAACATGACTGTTATCCCAAAGGTGCTTTTTAAAAGAGGCAACTGGACTTCTGGTTTTTCTTTGAAGACAGTTCACTTCTTATCCAAGAAGCTTCTTCAGCTCATGGATGAGAAGCGAAACGTCTTCAAAGAAAAACAAAGAAAGTCCAGTTGCCTCTTGAAAAAGCACCTTTGGGACAACCGTGACCTGGATGACTGAGAATCTCCAACAGACAACATGACTATTAGTTTGGACAATCAGTTTATGCAGAACAACAGTTTTTGAGGACACCACACTGGTCACTGGGCGGTTTCCAAGTTAGGCTCAAAATATTCACTTGTAAAGCTCCATGAAACAAGGCACCAGGATATAAATTTCCTGACAATTAACCGGTGGAATAACTTGCCTTTGGAAGTTGTGAGTGCTCCATTGCTGGAGATTTTTAAGAAGGAGAAGAAGAAGGGGGAAAGGAGGAGGAGGAGATGAAGAAGGAGGAGGAGGAGGATGGTGGTGGTGGTGGAAGAGGTGGAAGAGAAGGAGGAGGAGGAGGAGAAGAAGGAGGAGGAGGAGGAGAAGAAGAAGAAGAAGAAGAAGAAGAAGAAGAAGAAGAAGAAGAAGAAGAAGAAGAAGAAGAAGCTGGATGAGAGAGGCAAAATGTCTTCACAGAATGGATGACTGAGAATCTCCGTAAGACTTTTAAGAAGAGATTAGACAACTATTTGTCTGAAATGGTATAGAATTTCCTGCTTGAGCAAGGGGCTGGACTAGAAGACCTCCAAGGTCCCTTCCAACTCTGCCATTCCACTAAGAGTTCTCTTTTAGGACGAGCTTCCTCAACAGAGATCCTCGCCTTGAAGAATGTGGGATCTCAGAAGCATATCTGCTTCCAACACTGCCTGCATTCCAGAAAGCTATGTTATTTTAGCCAGCCTTTAACTCATGGAATTTGTGGGTGACTATCTGATAATAGTATATTGTTAATTATTTCTATTTCTGCTATTATAAGGTAAGCATTCTGGTTTGGAGGTCTCCGTTCAGAGCATTTATTGATTAGGGAGGTTGATAAATATTTAACAATGGATACTTGCTGCTCAGCATCATTTCAAAACCATCACACTCACATTGAAGCATTTTATTTAGCAACTTTTCTAGGGAGGAGGGTAAAATAACAGAGTGTTGCTACCTCCAGAAAATGCTATATTTGGGATTATGTGGAAGAAAGGGGAAATTGGAGATAAACAACATCATGCATTCATGACTTCTCAGAAGTTCTACTGGATTCAACTGGATTCTTCCATCTGAAGAATGAGTAGTGTAGTGAAACAAATTTAGGGGAGAGAATCTGTCTTTTTAAATTATTGCATGGATTTGTGGTGGAAACACTTTCTAGTTCTTAATGTCATGAATTACATGCTAAGAGGGCTATAAAGCAAAATGCTTAGGCTTCTCAATTCTGCCCTAGCAAATGAAAATCCCTTCATCCTCTTTGGATTTTTTTCAAAAAGCAATTGCAACATGCAATTCTAAATTTGGAGCAGCAAATGTTGTGAATTTTTTTTGGATCCCATCGCTAGAGAGTTGGTTTAATGAACGGGGGGAAAATGTTTTGCACTGAAGTCAGCAGTCGGTCCTTGTAGAGTACAGTTCTTTCTTTCTTTCTTTCTTTCTTTCTTTCTTTCTTTCTTTCTTTCTTTCTTTCTTTCTTTCTCTCTCTCTCTCTCTCTCTCTTTCTCTCTGTCCTTCCTCCCTCCGCCGCTCCTTCCCTCATGTCTTTCTTTCTTTCTCTCTCTCCTCCCTCTTTCTTTCTTTCTTTCTTTCTTTCTTTCTTTCTTTCTTTCTTTCTTTCTCTCTCTTTCCTCCCTCCTTCCCTTCCTTCCTTCCTTCCTTTCTTTCTCTCTCTCCTCCCTCTTTCTTTCTTTCTTTCTTTCTTTCTTTCTTTCTTTCTTTCTTTCTTTCTTTCTTTCTTTCTTTCTTTCTTTCTCTCTCTCTCTCTCTCCTCCCTCCCTCCATCCCTTCTTCCATCCTTTTTTCTTTCTCTCTATCCTTTCTCCCTCCCTTCCTCTCTCTCTCTCTCCTTCCTTCCTTCCTTCCTTCCTTCCTTCCTTCCTTCCTTCCTTCCTTCCTTTGTTCTCTTCCCATGTTGTTGTGAAAAATCCAACCACTTTCAAAGAGCAGAGACGTACAAAATTATATGGCAAAGTTCCCAAAACGAGTGACGCAAAAATAAGGGAAATCAGTGCAATTTGGTTGGTTTGTACAATGTAGGCAGTTGCCCAGTTTGTGCAGCTCCCAGTTCTGATTTCACCAAAGCAGCTCATCTTCTACCCTGTTTGCATCCTCCAGTATTTCTGACAACACAGAGCAGCAAAGCTGGTTTTGCAAATCATGTAACACACCGAATGACACTCTTAGACTTTGGCACTTTGTTTTTGTTCCCGTAGGACTGACCCGTTTGGAAGTAAGTGTTGTCAGTGCACGTACCTTCCATCCCTCCCTCCCTCTGCATGTTCTTCTAAAAGAATGCACCACTGTGTGAAACAGTCTTGACACAAATGGAAGAGGGTTGTTTTGCAAAGTTTAGTGAACTGGCGCAAGTCTTCGGGGACCAGCTGCACACACGAATTTCAAACTGTCAAACAACATAGGGCACTATGTGTGTTTAAGCATCTGCTGCCATCTGTTCTGACCAGGGAGAGCTTATGGATTTATAGAAAAAAAAAAGCCCCCACTCTCTGCCTGTATTTGCTTCTCTCTTTCTCTTTTTAAAGCTGTTAACTAATCTCCGAACCGTAGGCATTAAATATAGCTAGACCCCGGCACAACGGAGACAAGCTACTCACCCTAAGCTCAAAGAAAAGCAGGCGAAGAGAGACTCACCTGGATGGCAATCTTCAGCGTGGAATCATCTACAATCTGGGTGCAGACCAGCGAGTCAGGATCTTGGGGTATCCTGTAGATCTCGCCCATGATTAAGATCATCGGGATGGCCAGCAGGAAAGAGGCCACCCAAATGCAACTGATGAATTTTTTGGTCCGGCTCCTGGACATGATGCTCTTGGCTTTGAAAGGGTGACAGATGGCCATGTACCTCTCCACACTGAGGCTGGCGATGTTGAGAGACGTAGCGTAGGTGCAGGCATCCCTCAGAAAGTAGTAGCCCTTGCAGACGTCGTTGCCGAAAGCCCAGGGGTGGTGCACCCAGATGAAGTTGTAGAGTTCGATGGGCATGCAGAGGAGGAAGATGAGCAGGTCAGAGAATGCCAAGCTGGCCAGGTGATAGTGCACCGTGCTTTGGAGATTCTGCAGGGACTTCTTCCTCACCAGGGTGTAAGCAGTGATGGAGTTGCCCACTGTCCCCAGAAGGAACAGCACCAAGTAGATGATGGTCACCATCACCTTGGAGTAGATGTCTGTGTTCACATCCAGATCCTCCTCGTTGGGTGGGATGGACCTAAGTCCCGAACTGTTGGACAGGTTCTCTGCTGCAGCGGGCAGGACAGAATTGGAGGACGGCAGGTGAAACTCGCTCATCAGGTATCCCAGCTGGTAGAAGGAAGAAGTTGTGTTGAGATGCATGGTTTGGCTCTCCAGCTCCTGCACCCCAAGGAGAGATGCTGTGGCTCTTTTGGGTCTCCAACCCAAGCTTGTTTTTTTCCAAGCAGGAGATGGCGTGGGAGATACAACTGCCACCTTCCTGCCTGGCAGAGCGAAGCCAAAAAGCCCCCCCCACACAACACCTCCCACTATGCACCCTAAGAGGAAACTTGACTCGCTTTAATAGGAGAGAGGAGGAGGAGCCTGCAGACCAGTCTCTCCGTGCCTGTGCAAGGGAGGGGAGGAAGAGATTTAAGCAGCCCTCGTGTGGAGACGAGGGCCAGAAAGCTGCAAGCAGCCGCTTCTCAGAGCGAGTGCATCTTCGCTGTGCAAAACAGCGGCTGTGTCTTTCCCTCGACCCTCCTCTCTCTCCCTTTGCTCTCTGTGCAAGACACGAATTCCCATTCCTTCCAGATGGCAATTGCAGTAATGTGCTTTAACAGGTCAGGCGCTTCCTGTCCTCTTTCCAAAGGACGAACGTAAAGGAGACCCATCCAATTTGCAAAACAAGACATACATAGTTCTTCCCTAAATATGGTCCTTATTTACCCCTATTTCTCCATCCCATCTCCACCCAGTTTAAATGTTTGGCCTTTTGCACCCACCCTCCTCTTCCTAATACGGTAATGTTCATTTTACACCTATTCACTTTTCAAACCTATCGTTTTTTTTTAAAAAAATGTTTTAATTTTCTAATTGTTTTACACTGCGGATTTCGATGCTGTAAGCCATCCAGAGTCACTCGATGGTGAGATGGGGAGCATATTTACTTATTCTATGTGTTCATTTGTAAAATATTGGAGGGGCTGCCCCAAAGAAGAGCGGGGTCAAGCTATTCTCCAAAGCACCTGAAGGCAGGAAAAGAAGCATTGCGTGGAAACTAATCAAGGAGAGAAGCAACCTAGAACTAAGGAGAAATTTCCTGACAGTGAGAACAATCAATCAGTGGAATTGCTTGCCTTTAGATGTTAAGGGTGCTCAAACACTGGAGGCTTTTAAGAAGACATTGGACAATCATCTGTCTAAAATGGGTCCCCTGCAAAGGTTGGACTACAAGACTACAAGATCTCTGGTGTCTCTTCCCTGTTATTCTGTATTCTATATATTGTTGGCCAGCCATCTTTCCACCAAAGGCATTGTGTGGGCATGGATGTCCCAGGGTCTTTGGACTCTGTTTATTAGATAGATGACAGATAGATACAGGGGTCGGCTTCAAAATTTTTAGCAAAGCGTTCTTTGCCCAGTTGCTGGGTGGGCATGGCCATGGTGAGTGCAGCCTAGTCAGCCTCCTGCACCACGGCGGGATGTGTGTGCTTTTGCCCTCCCCAGGCTCCAGAGGCTTCCCACAAGCCTCTGGGAGGGTGACAACAGCCCTCGCAGCCTCCAGAGGCTCTCTGGAAGCCAGAAATGGACCCATTTCCGGCTTTCCTGAACTTCCAGGAGTCCCATTTTTTTGCCCTTCCTGAGATTCCACACGCGCCATCTGCACTTATCAGCACCCAAAACGGGCTCCGTAGGGAGTCCTGAAAGGGCCAGGGCAGGATGGGGTTTGGGGGTTCTCTGAACGGCACAGAACTGTGCAGAATCTTAGCTAGGGGCTCTCCTGAACCCCTGCGAATCCCCAGCGGCCCACCCCTGGATGGATAGGTACAGGGGTGGGATTCAAATTTTTTAACAACCGGTTCTGTGGGCGTGGCTTAGTTGGTGGGCGTGGCTTGGTGGTCATGTGATTGGCTGGGCGCTGCCAACTCAATATCACTCGCATTGAGGCACGCATCTCCTCGCCTGGCCTCTCATGACTGTGGGGATGCTGCAATAGTCATAAGTGTGGAAAAACAGTCATAAGTCACTTTTTTCAGTGCCATTGTGACTTTGAATGGTCGCTCCACACAAGCAAAGTACCAGCAAAGGAGGAAGAAAAAACTTCAGAGACGTTCCTGAGACAGGAAGCCTCGTCCTGCCAAGAATGTAATAAGGGTTGATGGAGAAACAGTTTCTGTAAGCAACACCAGAATGTTTCCTTCCTGCCTTCCTTACAGGATTAGGCCAGTGATTCCTTCTAACAACCGGTTCTCCGAACTGGTTAGAATATTAACAACCGGTTCCAGCGAATAGGCGCAAACTGATAGAATCCCACCCCTGGATAGGTAGGTAGGTAGGCAGGCAGGCAGGCAGGCAGATAGACATGGATTCCTTACCCTGCTAGAAAAGGTGTATGTTTAGATAAACGGGTTCCATAAATTGTCACATGTGTGCATAGGTTTGTATATGTATACATGTGAATTGAGAAGGAGAGCATTACACACACACATTGGCGAGCATTACACACACATACACACATATACACACACACACAAATGCATACAGAAAGATAACAGGCCTGGAGCTTCCCTTTCCTTTAGAAGATAGAAGCTGATTTAGAAAGTCAGTGGATTAATGTTACAGACTCACTCTCTTGGTGATTACGCTGTTAAATGGCAGAAAGAAAATAGACTGAATTGTGAATCAACAAGTCCTTGGCTGAAATGTTGGATCTGCCATAAACTTGCAATTAATTTCTTTATCACACTTCCAAGCTGCCCACAGTCATTGTTCTCTAGAGAATGTACTAAACAATACAATTTAAATCGAAAAATAAAAACCAGCAGCTTTACAGAGACCTCAAAACAGTTCGTTGCTGGCGTACAAGACTCCTTGCTGCAGAACTCTGTGAGCGATCACAAAAAACCCCCCACCATATTTTAAACATTTAAAATGAGATATCTCCTGTCTCTAGGATAACCTCTTTCTGCATGCAGTAACCATGATACATGGCTTTTGATTTTTTTTTTAATACTTCCAACTGTTCCCCCCTTTCCATTTCATTCTTGTGTGGGATGTATTTGCAGACTTAATTTTAGCAGGAGAGCTAGTTTGGTATAGTGGTTTAGGTATCAGATTGGAAGATTGGGAGTTCTAGTCCTGCCTTAGCCATGAAAGCCAGAAGGATGACTTTGGGCCAGTGACCATGAGACCATGACTTCTAGACTAGTCCTGTCTTAGATAGGAAAGCTGGCTGGGTGACTTTGGGCCAGTCAC